AGAGTAAAAGGGCAAAAAGAAATTAAAAAAACAAGAAAAGAATATGGCAAAACCTTGTTGACTACTAACGGAACAAAGTTTCTGAAAAGATGATAGATACATGCACAAGTGACAGAAGCCAGCAGAAAATGAATATCAGATGACCAATTTGAACAGAAACACCAGAAGACAGTCCAAGTATAAGGGCTAATAATATGCCCTTGTTATAAACTGACAAAGATTAATACAAATAACAGAAGTTTACACAAAGCTATTTTTGATGTTTTCTTTTAGCTCATAATGTTTACATCACTCCAAATCTTCAGTTGAAGTTTTGGAAAAGCAAGAGAAATCACAATACATATTTTTAAGGAGGTGCACTTGCAACATCCAACACAATAAGGTATTTCGCTCTGAATATATAGGCATCCATGTATCAGCACATGCTACCACATATGGCTACAGTAAGAGACAGTGCTCCTATTAGCCACTAGTATGAGTTGTTTATGAGTCAATGAGAACAATGTTCATGGTTTTTTCACACATGATGCCCCAGCTTGCAAAAGAATGTTGTGCTTATAGCTAGACCATTTTACTAACCCATGAAAGTTGACAAGATGAATACAAGGTCCGTTCTGCCCAAGTGTCTCACTTACATCTGCCATACAAATTTAAGTTCTATTTAAAGATAACAATGGAAGTGGATTGAATGAAACAAGCAGATAAACCACAAATACATAATTAAATGAAAAGATATAAAGGGAAATTTCGCTGTGTATAAGACATAAACTAGCAAACTATTGTGCTACAAAAATAGTAATTAACAGCACACCTTAGCAGATGCTTGGATTTCTCTTGCAGTCATATCCAATGCAAGTGCATAACCTGTAGTGCCAAACATAATTAGCAGTTTCATGTTAAGCATTTATTTAAAAAGAAACCTGACATAAGTATAAAATGCGAGCATGGTATCTAAAACAAGCTTTAGCTCCTAAAAATACATGCATGACTAAATTTCGAGTTGCAGTCTTATAGCATTTGAAAAAAAAATTTCCAATATGTAACAGATATGCTTAGGATACGATACGACATTCAGGATCGACATAACTGTCATGTTAATTGTTCTGTCGATACAGCTTGCATTGCATATTTACACAATATGTATCTTATTCTAAGGCGGTTAAAGTTATAAATCATGTTAAACTTTTTAGTAGAAGACCATGTCAAGGATTTAAAATGGTACAATCAGAACATAACTTAAAGAAATAGTTCTATCGTGTTAAAGATTTAAATTTTCTTTGAATTAAATCATACAGGAGCATTCACTATCATAATCTTCAGTAGGCCGACATATCAGTGGTTTAAGGAGCAACTATAAAAGTGTCAATCATGTTGACTGTTGTTCTCAGGCATTGCATATTAAAACGAATAAGTCCTAATTCCAGTAATCAAACTAAAGTGTTGCACATTAAAAAAATATATATCAAAATTCAAAATTGTCAGCACCTCCAACGTAATCCATGGCAGTATATTCCTCCACATCGCGAGCCTTCTGACCGATCACAACAGCAAGCTCCACCTCGTGATCCAGCGACTCCAACGGATGGGGGATCTGGATCGTGCCTCCACTGGCGAGGTACGATGACGTGGGCTTCATGAACAGCACCGGCTCCTGAAAATTCAAGAAACAAAAGATTGATTTTAG